AAAATCACATGATCATATCAATAGATGCAGAAAAAGCATTTGATAAGGGACAGCACCCATTTATGATAAAAAACACTCAGCAAAGTGGGAATAAAGCAGGCATACCTCAACATAATAAAGGCCATATATGACAACCTACAGCCAACATTGTACTCAACAGGCAAAAACTAAAAGCTTTCCCACTAAGATCTGAAACAAGACAAGGATGTCCACTTTCATCACTTCTATTCAATATAGTATTGGAAGTCCTAGCCACAGTGATCAGACAAGAAAAGGAATAAAAGGCATCCAAATTGAAAAGGAGGAAGTAAAACTATCCTTGTTTGCAGATGACATGATAGTATACATAGAACACCCTATAGACTCCACCAAAAAACTACTCAACCTAATAAGTGAATAGGGCAAAACAGCAGGATACAAAGTCAATATGCAGAAATAGAAAGCGTTTTTGTACACCAAGAATGAAATATCAAAGTCAGAAATCAGGAAACAAATCCCATTTGCTATAGCAACAAGAAAAAAAAGTACCTAGGAATAAACTTAACCAAGAAGGTAAAACACCCATACTCAGAAAACTATAGAACACTAAAGAAAGAAATTAAGGAAGACACAGATAAAAGAAAGCATATACCATGTTCATGGATTGAAAGAATTAACATCATGAAAAGGTCCATACTACCCAAAACAATTTATAGTTTTAATGCAATCCCTATTAAAATACCAATGACATATTTTGCAAATATAGAAGAAACATTTCAACAATTTATATTGAACTATAAATGACCCCAAATAATGGCAGCAATTTTAGGAAAGAAAAACAAAGTAGGAGGGATCACAATACCTGACCTCAAACTATATTACAAAGCCACTGTAATCAAAACAGTCTGGTAGTGGCATAGGAACAGACACAGAGATCAATGGAAAAGAATAGAGAGCCCAGATATAAACCCATGTCACTATGGTCAATTAATATTCAACAAAGTGGGCAGAAGCATAAAATGGAGTAAAAATAGCCTCTTCAACAAATGGTCTTGGGAGATCTGGACAGCTTCATGCAAAATAATGAAATTTGACCACCAGCTTACACCATACACAAAAATAAACTCAAGTTGGATAAAAGATATAAATGTAAGTTGCAAAACCATAAAAGTCCTAGAGGAGAATGTAGGCAGGAAACTCTCAGATATTCCACACAGCAATATTTTCACTGATATATCCCCTAAAGCACAAGACATAAAAGAAAGAATAAACAAATGAGACTTCATCAAAATAAAAATCATCTGCATGGCTAAAGAGAACATCAGCAAAATGGAAAGGGAACCAACCGTATGGGAAAATATATTTGCAAATGATACCTCAGACAGGGTTTTGATCTCCAAAATACATAAAGAACTCACATGACTACACTCTAGGAAGACAAACAACCCAATTTAAAAAATGGGCAAAGACCTGAACAGACACTTCTTCAAGGAGGACATATAGAGGGCCCAGAGACATATGGAAGGATGATCAGCATCACTAGCCATCAGAGATGCACATTAAAATCATAATGAGATATCACTTCACATCAGTCAGAATGACCATCATAAACAAACCAACAAACAAGTGCTGGCAAGGTTGTACAGGAAAGCGAACTTTAGTACACTGTTGATGGGAATGCAGACTGGTGCGACTACTGTGGAAAACATTTTGGAATTTCCTCAGAAAACTAAAAATGGAACTGCCTTTTTATCCAGTGATCTCACTGATGGGATTATACACTAAGAATCCTGAAACACCAATTCAAAAGAACCTATGCACCCCAATGTTCATAGCAGCACAATTTACAATAACCAAGTGCTGGAAGCAACCTAAGTGTCCATCAGTAAATGAGTGGATCAAAAAACTGTAGTACATTTACACAGTGGAACACTATGCAGCAGAAAGAAAGAATGAGTTCCTACCCTCATGATAGCATGAATGGATCTGGAGAGCATTATGCTAAGTGAAATAAGCCAGGGGGCAAAAGACAAATACCATGTGATCTCACCTATAAGTGAAACCTAATTAACAAAAAAAGCAAGCACGCAAAACATAACCAAAGACATTGAATAAAGAACAAACTGACAGTAACCAGAGGGGAGGGGGATAACGTGGGAAAGAAGGGAAGGGTCGTCAAGGAACATGTATAAAGGACACATGGACAAAGCCAAAGGTGGGTAGGACTGAGGGTGGGAGTTGGGGGTCAGAGGGGAGCAGGGAGTAGTGGGGTGAAAATGGAGACAACTGTACTCAAAGAATAAAAAAATAATAAAAAAATAAAACTAAAGAGGGAAAATAAAGAAGGTTAATAATGAAATATTTAATGTTCTTTTTTTAATATTTAATATTCTTAAAGAGGTCAATGTCCTTGTTAATAATTAAGGATTGTACTCTCCTTTCACCCACAGATCAGAAGGGTTTTATTCAGCTTTATGAAATGCATTTCCCAGCTGTAAGATGTCACAGGGGCATCACTTGATTTAACAATTCAACTGTAGCAGGGATATTAGTCAGGGTTCTCCAGCAGAATGTGTGTATATATAAAGAGAATGATTTATTTTAAGAATCGGTTCACATGATTTGGAGGCTTAACAGATCCAAAACCTGCAGGGTAGCCTGCCAGGCTGGAGGCTCAAAAGGAATTGCAGTTTGAATCCAAAAGCAGTCTGCTCATAGAATTCTTTCTTGCTTTTGAAAGTCAGTCTTTTTCTAGAAAGGCCTTCATGAATGGATGGGGTTCACCCATCCCATGGAGGGTAACTTGCTTAACTTAAAGTCTACTAATTTAAATGTTAATCTTGCTAAAAATACCATTACAGAAATATCTACAATAAAGTTTAACCAAATATCTGGGTCTACCCATGTTGACATGTAAAATTAACCATCACACAGGGAAAAAACAATGCACTATCATTGGGCTGGACATATGCACAGAATAAGAGCTCATCTTTTTGGAGTTAGGGTCATTCACTTTGGTCTCATTCAGTGGTATGTATACTTTTAGCTCATGTTTCTTTCCTATTTTAAAGATTTTATTCATTTATTTTTAAAAAGAGGGGAAAGGAGGGAGAAAGAGAAGAAAAGGGGAAACATGGATGTGCAAGAAAATTGGTTGCCCCCAACTGGGGACCTAGCCCACAACACAGGCATGTGCCCTGACAGAAAATCAAACCAGCAATCTTTTGGTTCACAGGCTGGCACTCAGTCCACTGAGCCACACCAGCCAGGACTCTTTCTTTCGGGTTGTTTTTTTTTTTTTAACCTAGTTTTTATATTCAGGAGGAAAAGCAGGCCCGAGCATCATCAAAGTTTAGGGCTCATTTCACCAAAGTGTCTAATATATTTTGTAACTATCTTATTAGCATAAGGGCATGTGGAAACCTTTGTTATTAGTCATTTAAGGAGCAAGAAAATGTAGGCCCATCTGCTCTATAGGCCTGAATCAAGAAAAGCTACTCTCAGGACCAATTCTCAAGGCATTTAGAGAACAGATTTAAGACATGAGGATGTTTTCACCTAAAAGTTTTCAACTTAATTTTTTTAGCACAGTCTAATCCATTCACTATAGAAAAGAAAGACCAGAGTTCACCTGTGGCAGAAATATCCACCACAAAGTACTCATTCTTTTTCAGAAGATGATGCAATGCTATTTCTTCTGCTAGGGACAGAAATGACAATCACATCTTGGATCCAACTTCTGATCATGAAGCCATGAGCAAGAAAACGGGAAGTCCTTGATGGGGTTGAGAAATGTCTCTGCCTTCAGGCTCTCTAGTTCTTTGGTTCTCAGAAACGTCAGCTGGGAAAGGATATGTATTCCAAATAAGAGGACCAAGGGGATAGTAAACTGAGTCAGCCAATAACCATAATAATGATGAATGAAATAGCTGTTTTGTACCAGATACTGTCCTGAATTCCAGGGAGACAGGATGACAAAACATGGCCCTGCTCCTCTGTCCACTGGGAATAACAGATAACTGAGTCACTGTGATGCATGAGTAAGAGAGCTGCATGCAAAGGAGGGCGTGACTAACCCTGTCTGAGGGTATAGGGGGGTTTCACAAAGGAGGTGACCCTTGACCTATACATTGGAAGATACTTGAGTCCAGCAGACAGTGTAACAGGAGACAGAGGATTCCAGAAACTTGGAGTTTAATTTTTATTTACTTACTGGTTTTATTATTGATTACTAAAGTACTAAATATCCACTTATGATACATGTAAATGTAAAGAAGTAATGTAAAAAAATGTAAAGAAGTAAAAAAAAAAAAGACTCTGAAAAGACCCATAACTCCAATATCAGAAGGTAAACTACAACAGTAATAATTTTGCCATAATTCATTGTTTTTTTCTATGCATTGTAATATAATATTGTGTTTATACTACATTTATAACTCTGTACATTGTTTATCCTCAAGATATTATATCATTAAAAAAACTATTTGATAGCTTCTTAAAATCTCACCAGGTTTATCATAATTTGCAAGAATTAATCTATTGTGGATTTTTCTGCTCCAAGTTTTCATACATATAAAGGATGTCTTTGTGTGTAAATTTTTGTTGTATTTTTAAAAGTGGAAACCCTGAACTTTACTAACACTCTTGATAACTAACCATATTGCTTTCTAGAAATGTTGCTGCAATTTAAATTATTACCAGCAAAGTACAAAAAGTGCCTTTCTTACTAAATTCCTACCAACATTGCACAGAATTTTTAAAAACGGATTTTAGCATATATTCAGTAAAATGTACTAATCTCAAAAGTATACCTTACTGGAATCATTTTTAAATTTTTTAAATATTTGATAATTTAATAGAAGAAATTTGTATTCCTTATATTTCTATAAAAGTTAAATGTTTTCTTATATACATTATACTCTTGAACTTGTTTTTTGTGATGTCAGTGCATGACACTTATCTGTTAACACCTAAGTGGTCTTCTAAAGTGTGTTTGTGTGTATGTGTGTGTGTTTAAAGAAACCACTCAGACTGCGTTCTCTCCCTCTTACTCTTCCAAAGGAAAAGAAGAACAATCACCAGTGGCTATTAGCAATTACAAAAGCAACACCAAAGCCAGCTTCACACTCAGGAGAACACTATGGCTCCTCCTCATGGTTTCAGGCGCTCTACACATTCATAGAAACTTCTCTAGTAACAAACTATAGAAATGATCCCTGAAAGTATAGTATTAACATGTGTGTTTTAATTATACTTGTCATGTTTGCTATAAATATTTTTCTAGCTTGTTTTTTTCCATTTTCTTTTCTAAAAATATATTTTATTGATCATGCTACTACAGGTATCCCAGTTTTCTGCCTTTGCCCTCCTCCACTCAGTACCCTATTCCCTCCAGCAATCCCCGCCCCTTAGTTCATGTCAATGGGTCATGCATACAAGTTCTTTGGTGACTCCATTACCTATACTATTCTTAACATCTTCTTGTCTGTTTTGTACCTACCTTTTAATCCCTGCTTCTTAATCCCTGAACCTTTTCCCAAAATCTACCCCTTCCCCATCCCAACTGATAATGATCTCCATATCTATGATTCTGCTCCTCTTCTGCTTGTTTGCTTAGTTTGTTACTTGGATTCAATTATTGATAGTTGTGAATTTATCACCATTTCAATGTTCATCATTTTGATCTTCTTTTTCTTATATAATTCCCTTTAGGATTTCATATAATAATGGCTTCGTGATGATGAACTCCTTTAGTTTTATCTTGCCTGGGAAGCACTTTATCTGCTCTTCAATTCTAAATGATAGCTTTGCTGAATAGAGTAATCTAGGTTGTAGGTCCTTGCTTTTCATAGTTTTGAACACTGCTTGCCAGTCCCTTCTAGCCTGCAAAGTTTCTTTTGAGAAATCAGCTGACAGTCTTATGGGAACTCCCCTGTGGGTAATTTATGTCTTTTCTCTTGCTGCTTTTAAAATTCTCTCTTTATCTTTAATCTTTGGCATTTTAATTATGATGTGTCTTTGTGTGGTCCTCTTTGGGTCCATCCTGTTTGGGACTTTCTGTCCTTCCTGGACTTGTATGTCTATTTCCTTTGCCAAATTAGGGAAGTTTTCTTTCACTATTTTTTCAAATGAGTTTTCAATTTCTTGCCCTTCCTCTTCTCATTCTGGCACCCCTATGAGTCAGATGTTGGCATGTTTAAAGATGTCCTAGAGTTTCCTAAGCCTATCCTTGTTGTTTTGAATTCTTTTTTTCTTCCTGCTGCTCTCTGATTGAACACTTTTTCCGTTCTTGTGTCCAAACTGTTTTGATTCTTGGCTTCATCCCCTCCACTGTTGGTGCCCTATTGATTTTTCTTTTTTTCACTTAATGTATTCCTCATTTCTGCCTGGGTCTTTTTTTATGCTGTTGAAGTACCCAGTGAGTTCCTGGAGCATCCTGATAACTAGTGCTGTGCATCTGATATGTTGTCATCTCCATTTCATTTAGTTCTTTTTCTGGAATTTTGTTCTGTTCTTTCATCTGGGCCATACTTCTTTGTCTCTTCATGTTGGTAGCCTCCCTGTGTTTGTTTCTGTGTATTAGGTAGACCTGTTTTGACTCCCTATCTTAGTAGTGTGGCCTATTGCAGAAAAGCGCACCTGTTAAATTGCTAGGGGCAGAGCCTAAGTAATTTCCAGGGCAAGGCAACCCGTGTCACAGCTTTGTTGCTCTGTGTCTGGGCATGCTCGAAGAGGGCACAATGCTGCTGCCTGACCTCTGGAGTTTTGTGGAGGAGGAAGCTGTCTCATGGTACTTGCCCTGTTGCCAGTCTCTTCACTTTCTCCATTTTCTCTCCATATGCCACTGGTGCCCTTCCAGCTGCTGCCCTGGTGCTGAAACCCAGGGTGGGGGTGGTTCTGCATAAGTCCTAAGTCCATTGCAGGCCTTATAAGAGGTGTCTCTTGAAAATACCACAGTTCCTTCCACTGCCCCAACCACCACTGGTTTTTATAGCCAGAAGTTACAGAGACCTATCTTGCTGGCACTAGAACCCTGGGCTGGGTGGCCCAGTCTGGGGCTGGGATTCCTCACTCCTTCGCTCCCAATTTTTATCCACCACACATAGATGTGGGATCACCCATTCCTGCCTCCACACCTCTCCATGCCTCTCCACCTCTCCATGCCTCTCCACATGTCTCCACGTCTCTTCACCCCTTACCTGTCTAGATGAATGTGGCTTCTTTAAATCCTTGGTTGTTGGACTTCCACACAACTCGATTTTCTGACAATTCTGGGTGATATTTGTTTTTAGAGTCAAGTATTTTTTGCTATAGGTGTGCATAGAGGCAAGTCATGTTTACCTACACCTCCATCTTAATCAGAGTGACCTTTTTCTATTTTCTTTATGATGTTTTTGTCAGTCAAGGCTTTTTTTGCTTATACGGTCAATTTTCTAAATTTTTTCCTTTGTAATTTCTTGCAAGCATAATTAAAATATTATTAGATTCTTTGAAAATTCTTTAACTTGTGGGTTACTTAGAAATGTGTTGTGTAATCTCTAAATATTTGGGGAATTACCTAGCTATCTTTCTACTCTTGATCTCTAGTTTAATTTCATTGTGATCTGGGATCATTCTTTGTATAATATCTGTATTTTTAAATTTGTTAAGATGGGTTTTATGCCCTACAATGTGGTCTATCTTGTTGAATATTCCATGTAAGCTTGAGAAGAATGTGAATTCTGCTGTTGTTGGGTGGAGTATTCTGTAGATATCAATAGATCCAGTTGATTGATAGGGCTGTTTATATCATTTATATCTTTACTGATTTACTGCCGGCTTGATTTCTCAGTTACTAGCAGAGGATGTTGAAGTCTTCAAGTGTAATAGTGGATTGTTCTACAGCTCCTTTCAGTTCTATCAGTTTTTGATTTATGAATTTTGATGCATATTTAGGTGCACAAGTGTTTGGGATTGTCATGTCTTCCTGGAGAATTAAATCCTTTGGTATTACATAATACCACATTTTATTCCCAATATTCTTTTTTGGTCAGAAGCCAACTTTGTCTGAAATTAATATAGATACTACAGCTTTCTTTAATTAATGCTAGCATGGTATATATATTTCTCTGTTCTTTTACTTATAATCTAACTGGTTCTTTATATTTAAAATGGGTTTCTTATACTTAGGTCTTGTTTTTTTAATCCGCAATGACAATCTGTCATTAGTATATTTAGACCATTCACATTCAGATCTTCACTATGAAAACCTGCTGGGTTCCTGGAGGTATAGACCACAAAAATATAGGGGCTTACCCTGAAACTGTGGCCCCAGGAGTTTTTCTCGTATATTAGTACACAGTCGGCCTCTGGAAATGCATTCAAAATTACCATTTAAGTGCAATATTTTAATTGACCGATGTTGATGGAAATTTAAGGCAAGAAGATAATAATTCAACATATCTAGAAGATCATTTGTTTTCAGGTGCATAAACATGGCATAAGCATTCTGCCTAAAAGTGTCTGTGAATCATCCCTTAAAAAAATGGATTAGTTTCTATGGACACCAAGAGCATGATGCCACTTTTGATTTAATGAAAACCTCACAAAGCCTAGTTTTGGTAGCAGAGAGCCAAGCAGGAGTGGTTTGGAAGGCAGAGTGCTTTCCTGCAGCCCCTCGGGCTATGCTTCTGAGGAGTACATCTCTTAAGAGCTTCATAGAAATAGCAAACTAAGTATGAATTTTATATCTAATGCCTAAAATACCCTCCCTTTTTCTTGTTGGTGGCTTAGTCTGTGTTTATTTAGAGCTGCTTAGTTTACAGATCTGGCCAATGTCACACCATGTCATTATACCCTAAAGGAATTTTAGTTTCTTATATACCTCCTATCTTCCTCCTGTGGCAAGTGAATAAAGTTCCAGTCCAATACGAAGCACAATGAAAATCTAGACAACTCTGGGTGAGGTCAACTGGACAGCCTCTTGCAGCTCACCAGTGTATTGTGTTAATGATATTACTAAAATACTCAAGCCGCAATCAAACTGTAAGTAAGACAATAATTTACTGGATTGAAGATAGACATGTAGATGAAGAGAACAAATTTGAGAAGCCAGAAATAAACCCTTATATTTTCAACAAGGATATCAAAACAATTCAGTGCAGAAAGAGTAATTTTGCCAACGAATGGTGCTAGGACAACTGGATATCCATATGCAAAAGAATAAGGTTGAACCATTACCTCACAAAATAAAAAATGCAAAAATTAACAGAAAATGGGTCAAAGATCTAAATGAAAAAGCTAAAGCTATAAAAGTCTCAGAAGAAAACATAGGCATAAATTTTCATCACCTTGGATTAGGCAATTGTTTCTTAGATATAATACCAAAAAAAGCAACAAGTGACAAAAGAAAAAATAGATAATTACATTTCATCAGAAAATAAAACTTTTGTGCTTCAGGAGACCTTATTAAGAAAGTGAAAAGACTACACAAGAGTGAGAGAAAATATTTATAAATCATATATATGGTCAGGGAATTGCATATAGAATATATGAAGAAGTCTTACAGTTCAGCAATAAAATAAAAATAACCCGAGAGCCCAGATCTTGGTTTCTAATACATTCTCCAAAGGTATAAATAAAATGAACATGGCTCCTTAAAGAAATGGTTGATACCAAGACTGATGCAAGAAGTAGAGCAGATGAGCCTGGAGCATCTTATAGTGCCAGAAAGTAAGGCAGTGCTCAAACATACACACACACATACACACGCAATGATAGGGATATATCAAAGAAATTCAGGAATTAACCGAAAGAGTCCCCAGTGGCCAAAGTTAGAACATATTGAACAACAAGACAAAATACTATTAGATTATAAATCAAAACCTAAAATAACTAACAACAAGCCCAAAAAGAATATGAATTAGTGAATGAATGAATGAGTGAGTGAATGAATGAATGAATAAGGAAGAAGAGACAAATCTTCCATGCAGAGGAATTCCAAATAATGTAGATAGGTATTCTGCTTTCAGAAGGTGGTACATAACTCCTTACTCTTTAGAAGATTATGCAAAGTGATTTCCTTGCAAAGAGTGCAGTATGGAAAGGGAAATGAAAGGAACTGTACAAGCACTGCCTCATCCAGGTGAAGTAGGTCAGCATCAACAATGGTAAGCCATGTCTATAGTGTGTAATGAAAATGACACTTTACCTTTGTGACCTCTTCTCCAAAACACATAACCCCAGGCTAATCA